GCAGCGCGGAAGCAGCAGCAGATGTGGCGGCAACTGCAGCAGCAACTGCAGCAGCAACTGCAGCAGCAACAGCAGCAGCGCAGGAGGAGGCGAGCAGCAGCGAGGCAGCAGCAGCAGGGCCCGGAGGAGGGGCGGAGGGCGGGGGGGCCGCGCAGGCAGCAGCACGAAGCAGCAGCAGCAGCAGCAGCAGCAGCAGCAGCAGCAACAGCCCCGGCTTGCTGCTGTGGAAAAGACTCACTTGGCAGGTCTTCGCCAAAAAGGGAACTGTCAGCACTTTCGTTGGCTGCGTCACTCATGTTCCCATTTGGGACGGAAAAGACATTTACGTCCAAGTCTGCTGCTGCTGCTGCTGCTGCTGCTGCTGCTGCTGCTGCTGCTGCTGCTGCTGTTGCTGCTGCTGTTGCTGCTGCTGTTGCTGGTGCGGGTGCGCGTGCGCGTTCCCGTTGTTTGCGCCGCCTCTGCTCGCCGCTGCCGCCGCCGCCGCTGCTGCTGCTGCTGCTGCTGCTGCAGCTGCTGCTGCTGCTGCTGCTGCTTTGTGCGCGCAGCTGGGGAAGCAGCAGACGCCGTGTCTGCTGCTGTGGGGCGGCGAAGACCCAGTGGTGACTGTGGGGTGCTGCAGGGCCTTGGCCGAGTTGCTGCCAAACAGTGCTGCAGTCGTTTTCCCCAACTGCCACCATTTGCTGCTCGCAGAACGCCCCCATGCATGCATTGCATGCATCATGACTTTCCTCGACTTCTTCCCGGGGGCCCCCCAAGAGGGGGGCCCCCCGACCTCCTGGGGGGCCCCCCGGGGGGCCCCTCTGGGGGGCCCCCTGCGCTCCCCCACGGGGCCCCCCCAGGGGGCCCCCCCGGGGGCCCCCCTGGGGGGCCCCCCGGGGGGCCCCCCGTGTACATGCCGATGTGGCGGTATTTGCTGCCTTTCTCTGGGGACGGGGTGTACGTACACCCGAGGCTGCGGTGTCCGCCGAATATGACTTACCGGGACTTTTTGCATTTGCTGAATTATAAACCAAGGTTTAATGTTTGCTTCGGAGAGGGGCCCCCGGAGGGCCCCAGCAGCAGCAGCAGGAGAAGTCCCGCGCCGGCTGCTGCTGCAGCCACTGCAGCAGCAGCAGCAGCAGCAGCAGCAGCAACAGCAGCACGCAGCGAACGCAGGCTCAAGAGCCACCACTCCGCCACGCACAGAGCTGCTGAGGCCCTCGGCGACGAGCTGCTGCAGCAGCAAGCCCACCGCCACCCCAAACAGCAGTCAGCAGCAGCAGCAGCAGCAGCAGCAGCAGCAGCAGCAGCAGCAGCAGCAGCAGCAGCAGCAGCAGCAGCAGAGCCTCCGGCTGTCCTCTCTGCCTGCAGAAGAAGCACTTGAGGAAGTGGAGGAAGAAGTTGTTATTGTGGACGGCTCCGCCTCAGGTTAGTTTCAAAAACAAATAAACTGCTTCAGCAGCAGCAGCAGCAGCAGCAGGAGCTGCAGCAGCAGCAGCAGCAGCAGCTGCAGCAGCTGGTATGTGGCCTTTTGCTGCTGCAGCAGCGCAACGCCAGTGTGCGTGTTCGGGTGTATGTACACTGCAGATGAGGAAACCCCCAAGGCCCCCCGTGCTGCAGCAGACAGCAGCAGCAAAAGGAGGCCCTCAAGTGCCTTTTCCGAGGGAGAAGAGGGGCCCCCTACTGGGGCCCCCCACCCCGGGGGGCCCCCAGAGGGGGCCCCCGGGGGGGCCCCCGGGGGGGCCCCCGGGGGGGCCCCCGAGGAGGCCCCTGGGGGGGCCCCCGGGGAGGCCTCTGGGGGGGCCCCTGAGGGGGCCCCTGGGGGGGCCCCCCATCGTAAAGGGGCCCCCCACGGTACGGGGGCCCCCGAAGGGGCCCCCCACGGTAGGGGGGCCCCCCAGGGGGCCCCCCGGATGAAGTCTGGGGCCTCTTTGGAGTTTCTGCTTTCTGGAGATGCCGAAAGAGGCGAAGGATTTCCTTGCAGGCATTTTTGTTTGTCTAGAGAAAGTCATCATGAGAAGTGATGAGTTATTTAATTGGGATTTATTGGAATTAATATCTTTATTATTATTTATTTTATTATTATTTATTTATTATTTATTTATTTATTTATTTATTTATTATTTATTTATTTATTTATTTATTTAATTGTGCGTGGGGGGCAGTTTAGGGGAAAATGTGCCGCTTTTTGCTGCTAACGCCGCAAGGAAATGAAAAGATATATTTACACTTACACTTCTTTTTATTTTATATTTTATGATTTATATTTTATAATTTATGATTTATATTTTATAATTTGTGATTTATATTTTATAATTTATATTTTGTAATTTATATTTTATGATTTACATTTTATTTGCTTTTTATATTTTTCGTTTTCTGATGTACTACAACGTGGGCAGTCGCCGCCTTTGGCAATTCTTTTTCTTTCGACTTTTTGATTCATCTTTTTTAGAACTTGCAATCAAATTAAAAACAAAACAAATAAATAAACAAACAAATAAATAAATAAATAAATAAATAAATAAATAAATAAATAAATAAACTGAACTTCGTCCAGCGAAGACATCCGCAGCTTCAGTTGCTCTAGGTAGTCACTGCGGTGTACGTACACCGCAGCGCAGCAGAACAACTGGTGTGGACTTGTCGGCCGTTGCAGCTGCTGTTAGTTCATTTTATTTATTATTTTTATTTATTTTATTTTATTTTTATTTATTTATTTTATTTTAATTCATTAATTCCCTTTAAACAGCTCTTTCGGCAGCTCCGGCTGCCTGGTGGTGACCCCCCGGGAGCAGCACAGAGCCCGCCTTGTTTTCTTTTTGAAATTCAGATAAATAAATTAGAAAAAAGTAATTATAAATAAAAATAAATAATTATAAATATAAACAAATAATTATAAATAAAAATAAACTCCAAAAAGAAAAAGAACCAAACAATCCCTACACCTCCAAACCCTAAACCCTAAACCCCAGTCACTGCAAAACCCTAAACCCTCCCTCCTCCTCCCCACAACAAACCTCAAACCCTAGTAAAACCCTCTAAACAACCCCCACTAAACCCTAATACAAACCCTTGCAAACCCTAAACCCTAAACCCTAAACCCTCGCTCGCTGTGGGTCGCTGCGTTAGTGGCGATGAGTTGTGGGAGACAAACGGGGCCCCAGAAGCAGCAAAAAGAAACTGACTGAAGGGGGGCCCCCAGGGGGGCCCCCCTCTTTCGAAAAAGGGGCCCCCAGGGGGCCCCCTTTCGAGAAGAGGGGGGCCCCCAGGGGGCCCCCCTTCTTTGAAGAAGAGGGGGGCCCCCAGGGGCCCCCCTTCTTCCTTCGATGCCTGGCGGCTTGTTCATCATAACGAGGCGCCTTCTGCTGCTGCGATTCACCGTTCCTACCCTGCTTTGCTGCAGCAGCAGCTGCTGCTGCTGCAGCAGCAGCGCCGGGGCAGCAGAAGCAGCAGCAGCAGCTGCTGCTGCTGCGCCTCTACAGAAAGGAAGAACTGCCTCTTTCAATCTAACACATGCGCTACGTAATAATAACTTAACAGTCCAGCACAGCCTCTGCGCATCTGCTGCTGCTGCTGCTGCTGCTGCTGCTGCGGTGGCAGCAGCAGCAGCAGCAGCGCAGCAGCAGCGCAGCAACAGCAGCTCAGAGAACCTCCTCCGCGAAGTCCAGGGATGTGGCGAGTAGTGCATCCTCCGATTTATTTTATTCCCTTTCTTCATCACGTCCTGCTGCTGCTGCTGCTGCTGCTGCTGCTGCTGCAGCAGCACTGCAGCAGCAGCTCAGAGCCTCCTTGACGATAAGCAGCAGCAGCACTGCAGCAGCAGACTATGTGTCCATAGCAGCAGCACCAACGAAGCCTCCTTGACATAGCGAAGCTGTTCAAGCTGCTGCTGCTGTTGCTGCTGCTGCTGCTGTTGCTGCTGCTGCTGCAGCAGCAGCAGAACCACCACCTCCGAGCCCTCCTCGGTAAGTTAAGAGCTGTAGTGACAGCACCAGCTTCACTCCGTTATTCCTCTTCACCGCATGCAGCAACCACCACACCACTTCTGCTGCTGCTGCTGCTGCTGCTGCTGCTGCAGCAGCAGCAGCAGCAGCACGGAATCTCGAGGACAGAGGTTCTCAGCAAAACTAAGTGCTGCAGTGACAGCATCAGCTCAACTTTGTTCTCCACACAAAGCCCCACCAACGCCACTCCTGCTGCTGCTTCCGCCGCCCCTCCTGCTGCTGCTGCTGCTGCTGCTGCTGCTGCTGCTGCTGCTGCTGCTGCAGTTAGAAGCCGCCCTGGTAGAGGTACTCTGCGAAGTTGAGGGCGGTGGTGAGGGCGTCGGCTTTGTTTTGTTCTTTCTCTTCGTCATATAAAGCAATCACAACATTTTCGTTTGGAGTTTTAATTAAAAACCCTCCGCCTTTGTTCTTCCCCAATATCGCCACGTCGTAGTTCTGGTCGTTGAACGTGAAGTCCCGCTTCTGCAGCAAACAAACACGCAGCAGCAGCGCCTTGCTGCAGCAGCAGCAGCAAACCAGCAGCAGCAGCAGCAGCAGCAGGAGCGGGAGCAGCAGCACGCGCGATGGGCTGAAAACGGCGTTCTGAGTCGCCGTGTGTCCCGCGAACGGCGGTTTTTCCGCAAACCCTAATTTAGGGTTTAGGGTTTAGGGTTTGCGCACGACTTCGGCGAGCTTGTACTTGGTGCCGCCTATGTAAACCCCCTGCGGCGCGCGGCCCTCCACCACCGCCTGCCGCAGCGTCTCCGCCTCGTCGCAGGCGCAACTCAAAGTGCTGCCGTCTTCTTGCGGGACTTCAATTTCGTAGTCCGTCTTCACCAGCACTTCCCAGGGGTCGCCTTCTGCTGCTGCTGCTCCGAACAAACGGCAGCCGTCCGCTATCTGCAGCAGCAGCAGCAGCAGCAGCAGCAGATGCAGCGGCAGCAGCAGCAGATGCAGCGGCAGCAGCAGAGATGCAGCAGCAGCAGCAGCAGCAGCAGCAGCAGCAGCAGCGGCGGCGGGAGGGGGAGGGAGGGA